GCCTGGTCCAGCTGAAGCACCTTCTCTGGCTCTTGGCCCTCTCCGAGCTGGTGGCTTTTGTGGTCACCTGGTAAATTGGCCAGAACACGTCATTCCAGTGTAGCATATGTGGCCTCCAAACCCCAGCGACCTCCAGAACGCGTGCCTCTTTCTTACAAATGGCAGGGGGGACCTGCCAGGGCTTCCACCATCAGACACTCATGTTTCTTACCAAGGTATCTGTGACACGTGCTACCTCCTACAGTTACCGTGTACACTGGGAAACTTGGGGTTACTGCTGTTTAGCTCTCCCCCCGCAAATCGTCAGTGAGTTCGAGATCAGTAGCGCTTTGTAACGCGGGATACAAGATGCAGGACGCCTGCGTCACCAGGCGTACTATCGGAAGAGAAAAAATGGAAAATGCATTGCGAACAAGAAGAAAAATCGGCTTAGTTATTTTATAGTCACAGACTTAACACACATAGCCTTTGTTGAGAAACTTAGTATTTTGTCCCACTGACTTTAGTGAATGAGGGTAATGAACTTGGAAACTGAAAAGAAATACTGCCTGGGCAACTCCTCCAGGTTCCCGGTTTCTTTTCATCTGGTCCATTTCCTGGTGGCAATGACATTTGTTTACCTTGAAAACGAGAGAAGACACTTTTATGGCACAACGTCTCCATGGTGCGTTGGAGCCTCGCTCAGGGAGCCCGCACGCCCCTTCCTGGGGGGCGCTGGGAAAGCGGCGAAAGACGCTGACCCCAAACAGAGAAAAGGGAAAACCAGATTTATTCCCATCCGCTTGTCCTCCAGAACACGCCTGTAATCAGGATGCAAAGGGGGCAGCCTCAGAAGGGAAGCATTCCTGCTGCATTGAATATTTTGTCTGGGTTTTGAGCTTGGGAGTTTGGGAACATTAACTCCTGTGGTGCTATTCTGGCAGTTCTGGTGTTTCCCAATTCCCAGTTTGTAAGCTATGAATATTTAAATATTTCTCCTTTTTTGAAATAATCAACTTTTTTTTGTTTGTTTTTATACAGGGTCTTGCTCTGTTGCCAGGCTGGAGTGCGGTGGTGTCATCATAGCTCATTGCAGCCTCTGATTCCTGGGCTCAAGTGATCCTCCTGCCTCAGCCTCCCGAGTAGCTGGAGCGACAGGCATGCGCCACCACGTCCAGCTAATTAAAAAAAAATTTTGTTGTTGTAGAGATGGGGTCTCGCCATTGCCCAAGCTGGTCTCAAACTGCTGGCGATCCTCCTGCCTCAGCCTCCCAGAGTGCTGGGATTACAGGTGTGAGCCACCATGCCCAGCCTGTAATCAACTTTTCATGACTGACCATATATTAAACATTTTTCAGTCTTCACAAGGAGACTCTTCGTACCGTAGGAAGCAAACAAAAAATGTTCTCAAACGAGAATGGGAAACAAAACTTCAAATATTGGCTCCGTTTTGAAAACTGTTGTACTAACATCACAAAACCGTCAGTTGACCCCTTCTCAACAGAAACGAATGTCAGCAACAGTATTCCCAATTGTCGCCTGCCTGGGACAAGTGGCAACTGTCCTGGTTGACTTGTGATTTTACAAAATGGTTGTCATGGGAAATAAGAGCCAATTTTCATGAGCATCTTTTTAAAGATTTAAAAAAAAAAACCCAATAAATCTATTAAGTAAGTTTTCGCTTAATTTTTTTTTTTTTTAAATCTGTGACGATAAGATACAAGCTCCTCTAGAAGTCCAAGGGAGTCTGGTTTCTGAAATAGTTCATATCTGAGACCACAAAGTTTCTGCAAGAAAACACCAGAGAGTGACCGACAGATGAAAATCGCAAGCGTAGCCAGCAGCAGACATTGGCAGAAGGAGGGGCGTGCCGCCTCTTTTTAAAGAATGAAGTGGACGTTCCCTGCCTCCCAGCTGGAAGTCCTGGCACACGGAGCCCACACTCTCACGGCAACACACCATAATTCTTCTCAGTTTTGGCTTCTTTCTCATTTTAGGAAAAAAGCTAAGGAAGACAAGAAAGGATCCAAAAGAAAGCCAGTGTCTTTCCTCTGATGAGTTGGTGCAATTCGAGAAGAGTGTTCTTCCTAAAGAAAAGCTGCCTCGGGCCAAGGGAGCAGAACCCGGGGCCACAGGGTCCCCCTCCGTCCTCGGAACGGGGGACAGACACTTGAGGAGGGAGGCACTGGAGGACAGGAGCCGGGGGCGTGGAGAGACTACACTGGAGCTTTGCTTTAAAATCTACTAAGATATTTTTAAGGCCTTTTAGTATGAAAACTTTCAAACATATAAAAGTGAACGTCGTAATTCTCCATCTTCCCATCCCTGCTTCAAAAATGCCCAACCCGTCTCCACCCATTGCTGGGAAGCGAATCCCAGGTGTTATTTCATAGTGTATTTTTCACGATGCATCTCTAGAAGGAAAGGAACAAACATCGTCACACCGATAACAAGGATTCCCTCTGTCGCTGGGGCTCATTTTAAGCAGGGTTTGCAAATTAGGTTCAGGCGCTGCAACTGGTCTCTTAAAAATGAGTGGGCCTTTGGGGGGCTGGTGGGGAGCGGAGGTTGCTCTCGTGAGAACGCTCCGCGAAAGCAGGAGCCTGGTTCTCTGCGTGGATTCTCGGGTGAAGGGATCAGAGGTTAGAGGGCTCTTGGGCTTGGAAGTGGCAGAGAAGGTGGCTTTAGCAGGTCCCAGGTCTCCCCTGGACGAAGTGGAGCAGCTGCCAACACCAGCTCCTGACAGCCACTTCACCGGCAAGGATGGAGACAAGGCCCCTCCTTCCAGGAATGGGGATCTGAGGCCAGCACAGGCCCAGAGCCCTGAGTCCTGTCACCATGCAAGAAACAGCACGGCACCTTCGCATCCTATTTCCCAGGGCACCGCCTCTTGGGAGGGACAGAGAGCTTGGCGCCAGGAGTGGCAGGGGCTACCTCCCTGGGGCCCTTGACCTGGGCCATTGTAGTCTGAAGGCCACAGGTGCCCTGAGCCTGGTTTTCTGGCCAGCCAGGTCTTCCTCACAGGTGCGATATTCAGAACTGCATCTTCAAGTGATGGCCGGGAACAGCAGTGACCTCAGACCCCTGCACAGGCGGAAGACACCGTCTCCTCCATGCCCTCCATCTCCACACTCCTGACCCGGTGGCCCGGCCTGGTGACTTGGCCTCCAAAGCCCCATGGCCCCCGGGCCCTCTGACACCTGCTGTGGCACCGCCCTCGCCTGCCTACTTGGGGTTTTCTTGGGAAAGAAGCTGAACGCGCTGTTGAAAGTTCTGCTTAGTTACGGTTGGACGTGTAACTCCGGGCCCTGTTACTTTGCCTTCACTTACGGTGTTGGGTGGTGGCTCCAGGCCAGGGGAAGCTCCCCAGATCCCACCTTGTGTGACCCTGGAGAAGCTGATTAGCCTCCTTGGCCACAGCTCCTACCTTCCTGATCTGGAAGCCTCTTGTGTGTTTTTCCCACCTGTGAATTATCTCATGTACTTAAGTGCTGCCCGTCCTCCCGCTCCATGACAGCACTTTCCCAGGGTTGGGGGGCCACGCCTGGCACAATGGGGAAGGCCCTGCTAAAGGACTTTATGCTCTAGTGGGGTGCCCATGGGTGGCGGGGGAATTGGCGATAAACAAATACGTGTGCAAGATAATCTCAAAGAGCATTAAACAGGGTGTCCCCCGTGGAGCACAGAGCAGAGGTGCTTGCTGTCCAGCACCGTAAAGGTAATGGTCCCTCTGCAAACGTGGGGCAGTTGGCTTGCAGCCCATTATAAAAGAGTCAGGTTCCCTAAACTCAGGCTCCCTCAGTGACACAAAGCCACTGAGTGTGCACATCCACCTGGACTGCTCTGTGCCACCCACAGGGGACTCGGGGAGCAGGGACTAATGCAAGAAGAAGCTCAAGCCACCTGCTGTGCTGTGAGTGATAAAGTCCTTTGTCTCTGTCCCCAGAGTCTCACCCCTCCTGCCAGCATCCGTGCAGCTATGGCCGGCTACCCGTTAGCTTGTAAGGAGGGTCAGATCTCAGACCCCTCACAGTCCCAGGCTGGAGCCCAGTGAGTGAGGGCATTTCATTCATTCATTCAACATCCGTTTATTGTGCTCCTGCCACGTGTCTGGCACTGTTTCAGGTACTCGGGATACACAATGCATGAGAATGAAGCATGCAAACGTTCTTGACCTCATGAAACTTACACTTTATAAAAGTGCGAAAAAAGACAAACAACAAACTACCTAAATAATATAATGTATAGAAAGATACAAGACCTGGTACTCTATGGCATAACATAATATTTGACATGTGATCCGTGAGATGGAGAGAAGGTAGCAAAGAGGGGCCCAGGGAGTGCAGGGGTGGGGGGAAGGTCTCTCATTTTAGTTGGATGTGAAACCAGATGCAGCCCAGACTTCGTCCAGCTTTGCTGTCTGAGGGAGGGAGTTGAGACTTGAGTGTGGGGGAGTCACTGAAGGGTACAAAAGGGGGGATGATGACCCCTGATTTGCTTCTCAGAGGTCACCCGTGGTGGCGAGGGACTGGACTCTGGTGGGGACACAGAGGGAGGTGGGGGGGCATTGCGGCTGCCTACGGGGGCAGTGGAGGGAGATGCAGAGGAACACCCTATTTTAGGAGGGGAGACGAGTATACCTCGGAAGTAGAGCTGGCAGGAGGTTTTGAAGGACCAGTTGTGGGATGTGAGGGAGAGGGCTTGGATTCCAGCTGTGGACCCCTGGGCAGGTGTGGCTGCCCTTTCCCCAGGTGGGGGAGGCCGGGCGTGGAGAGCACCTGCAGGAGCCTGGCCCTGTCCTTGGTTTATTGAGTCCAAGCAAGAGATGACGGACTCCATGATTACAATCAGCAGCTTTGCCTCGTCATCACCTGCCCGAGTCGGGCCCTCCCTGCTCCCTGGTGGCGCAGCGCTTCCCTGCTCTGTGTCCGGTCCCCACATACGTGCGTGTGTGTGTCTGGATGTACAGAAGTGACTGTCATGACGTCTGATAACGTCACTGTAATATAGAAATCTAGAAACCACACCATGAGACATATCGTATGTAGATTTTATAAAATACAAAAACATTTTATGAAATACATACAATATGCCTTTTCATTGTCTAAATTATATATTTTTATAAAATTGTTTACAGAGTGATAAGTTGGAGCATAACTCATTCATTGAATCAGCGCTCTAAACCGCTTGTTATGTTTTGAAATTGTAGGTATAATTTTCGTTTGTTGGGCAGGGTTACCAGTGGCTATATAACCCCGCTAGCAGGGGGTTTATTTCAGTTTCTTACCTTTTCAGATATGTTATTTAATTCTCTTTGGTAGTCACTTGATATCTGGTAGGAAACATTTAAAGTGCTGTACTTGGTGTGCATCTTTCATTGTATTCATCCCAAACAATCGAAAAACTTCTCACTGTTCAACAACAGTTTCTTCATGTGTTTCTAAGACAATGGATTATAGGAGACAAAAATCAATATATTTTACATTTCATTGGATGCATTTGAAAGAGTAATGGATAGAACCCTAGAAACTACCTCTTCAACTTTTAAAACTTAAGATGAAATATTTTGGATGTCAACTTAAAAGTATGTCAGGGGAACATTGTTTTGCAAAATCCCATTAAGGAGTATGTGAGTAAAATGCTTGGATGCCCACGATGCTACACTGTTCCACATCAGGCTATTTTATAATTTATTTATCGTTTTACCTGTTGATGAGCATTCAGGTTCCTTCCAGTTTTCCACGATCACAAACAATGCTGCAATGGACACAGCAGGTGTGTTCGCACACCAGCAACGGGTTCTTCAGGTTTACACCATAAGTAGAATTTGGGTGGTTTTTAACTTTGTTAGATATTTTTGACTTGCTCTCCAAAGTGTTCGCCCTGACTTACAACCGATCCCACCCACGGCGTCTGAGCCCTCCGGAGTCCCCGGGTTGTGCCTACACGTGGCATCGCCAGCCTGGGTTCTGCACGCCTGGTGGGCCTGGGCTGATGCCTCATCCTTGGTCTTTCTCTGATTACCAGGCACTGCGTGCAGCCAGTTCAGCGTGGGACGGGGACAGCCGTGCTGGGAGGCGAGGTCAGCGTAACTCAGCAGGATACCCGTTTGTGTTTGGTTCACTGAATTAATATTTTCCAGATTTTCTGGAAAATCCCAGACTCATTGGGAACGTAGAGCTGTCCCTCACTGGGAGTCCCCGGACAGGTGAACGGCTTTCTATTACCATTAACATCCTAACCTCCTACATTAACATACCAAGCTGCTATGCCTTCCTCTTACCGTTAACATCATCGCAAGTCTTAGAAGCATCGTGTCCTGAGCGAATGGCCACAGGCACCGCCGCTGCGACGGATCAGGCTGCTCGTTGTTTGAATAACGAGATTCTTAGCTCATGGTTAGCTTATGAAGTTCCTAATTAAATGGGAATGGGATAATACATTTATTATTTATTTATAGGAAAACAGCCTTAGATAATAAAGCAAGGCACCTTTCTGACATGCACTGGCACGATCTTTGTAAGCCCTGGCTCACCAGGTAGGCAGCGAAGAACAGGACGGGTCATTTTCACAAACACAGCAGAACTTGCGTGTGCAAAGGAGAGCTCTCCTCGCCAGGGTGGGGGATTAGTCAAATGATCACGCCCCCTGAAAGGACATAACCGAGATTCCTTCTTGGGACGGGACGCTCTCGAGGAGGAGGGGGGTTGGATTTTGGAGTCAAAATTTGCAGCCAAATCGACGAATAAGAGAGAAGTCGAGCAAAACTCATGCTGTCCCCACCCCCACACGAACCCCCTTGGTTCTTTAATGAAGGGCAGAACAATCCGCCAGTCTGAAAACCGACTTCATTAAAATATCTGTTTTTGCTGTTTTTCCTCTGCTTTCAGGACAACCACACCCAATCCAGCCCTGGTCTGGTGAGGTGCTTCTGTAGCCTGCACTCCAGAACATTCCACCGCCTTCCTCTCTCTGTACCACCTCCGGCCGATGAGATTCCCGGGCTCCCTCCACGCCCTGCCTGTCCTGCAGCAGGACTGCTTTCTCACGGGCCAGGTCCTGCCGCCCTCCCGCCCCGGGCTCGCTGGCACCCGGGCACGTTGCCCGGCTCACCCACGCCAGCCGGCCCAGGGCTCCGCGCGCAGGTGGGGCTGGACCTCTGAGCTTTCCTTTGGTTCCTTAAACTTGCTGAGGTTTTGCCTCCCCAGAACCACTGCAAACTCCTCTTCCTCGGGGTAGAGCCCTCTTCTCCCTGTGAAAATGAGTAATTCAAAGCCTAAATTGCTGGAACTTTAAAACCTTTTGAGCCTTAAGGAATGGGACCTGTTTCGAGGTAGCAAGCAGCTAGAACCTTTGTTTCTCTGTTACAGATTAGCCTTCTCCCTTACCGACATTGTTTTGTCAAATGTTGTAAATTACTAAAAGGTCCAGGGAAGACCTCTTCCCTCTTAACTGTTGATCTTCATTGCATATTAACTTCCCTCTTTCCTCTCTCACAAAGACTTTGTGACTATCACATTGTCTAAGATGGAATGTCAAATACACTCTTTTAAATTGGAAAGGAAAAGAAAACAAGCTGAATGGGAAAGAAAATAAACTGTAACTAATTAAATGGTTGTAACTCATAAACCAGCCTTGTATAGAAAATGCTATAATCCGTCAGGGTGTGGCGGCTCAAGCCTGTAATCCCAGAGCTTTGGGAGGCCAGGAGTTTTGGGGAGGATTGCTTGAGGCCAGGAGTTTGAGACCAGCTTGAACAAAATAGCAAGACTCTGTCTCTAAAAATAGAAAAAAAAAAAAAGAAAAAAAGAAAAGAAAGAAAAATTAGCCAGGTGTGGTGGCACATGCTTGTAATCTCAGCTACAGGAGGATTGCTTGAGCCCAGGAGTTTGAGGTTGCAGTAAACTGTGATGATCCCACTGTACCCCAGCCTGGGTGACAAAGCCTGTCTTAAAGAAAAAAGAAATTGTTATAACTCTACTACATTTCTTTGTTCTGCCTCTAAAATCAAGACTTCAACTTTTAACTTTGGAGCACTGACCCCATTTCTTTGGAGACTGCGTTACCTGAATGGCCATTCTCAGCTTTGCACTTGAATAAACTCTTTTAAAACTGGATTCTGATCCTTAAGATTATTTCAGGTTGACACCCCATTGTTTGTGTGTCTGGCTCCTAAGCGTTGATACTAGTTTCCTGCGGCTGCCATAACCCAGAGCCACAAACTGGGTGGCTTGAAGCAACTGAGATTTATGGTATCGTAGGTCTGAAGGCCAGAAGTCCAAAGTCAGGATGTTGGCAGGGCCCAAGCTCCCTTTGAAACCTGCAGGGGAGGGGCCTTTCCTGCCTCTCCCAGCCTCTGGTGTTGCTGGCAATCTTTGGCAATCCTTGGCATCCCTTGGCTTGTGGCTGCACCACTGCAGCCTTCTCTCTGGACGTCTCCTCTTCTTCTAAGGGCACCAGTCACGTTGGATTGAGGACCCACCCTACTCCAGTAGGACCTCATCTTAATGGCATTTGCAATGACCCTGTTTTCCAGGGTGAGCTGTTCATCTTCAGCTCAGCCTCTTGCTGGTTCCCGTGGCAATGCTTCTGTGTGCATTCAGTTGGCTCGTTCTCTGTGTCTGTCTCTCAGCTGAACCTAAGCTCCCTGAGCGCTGGCTCCATGTGCCCACTGTTCCTCTGGAGCCTGGAAGGGCACGGGCATACAGCAGATGTTCGACGCATTCTTGTATTAATTGAGCTTCAGCGTGAATGGCAGGCTAGAGACGTAGCAACAGCCAGGAGGCTGGACGCAGAATGCAGCAGGACTAACCTCCATTCTCCTGGTGCTTTGTAATTTGCAGTGTTTTCAAAGCCATCATTTCACGTCATCCACACAGCAACCAGCAGGAGAGGCCAGGGAAGGCCAAATAACCCCGAGTTCCAGAGAAGAACCCAAGCTCAGGCCGCATGGAAGTGCCATGGCTGATCGGAAACTTCCAGAACACAGATTGTTCGAGCTGAAAAGAATCTTGTGAAACATTGGGTCTAACCTCCTCATTTTGCCAATGAGAAAACCGGGGCCAGAGGAATGAAGTGATTCACGTCTAATATCTTAGCTGCCTAAGGGTGGAGCTGGAGTGAGATCAAGTTCCAAGCAGGTGACTCGAAACACGTTGGGGAATGGCAGGATCACTGCAGCCCACGTGCGTCCTCCCAAAATGTGGATGTGGCGTGGCAATGCTCTGTTGGCGTATATGGCGCCAGACAGCCGGGTGGGAAGGCTGACACCACCCCTTCCGGGCTTGGTGACCTTGAGCAAGCTCGTAAATCAATTCACACTGAGGCACTGGTGATTAATGTGATGTCTATCCCAGTGGAACCTACTTTTTAAAAAAGAACGCCCGGAAATCTTTAGCCCCGGGCACAAATCCCTGCCGCTGTTGCCCTCACCTAAGAACGGACACAGGCAGCACTCGATGAACAGCGAATGCACGCACAGGTGGGACCCAGGCACAGGTGAACTTGGACATGTGTTGGGAGGAAGGGAGTCCCTGAGCAAGAGACCCTCCTGGAATTCTTCAGCTCATTCTGCAGAAGTGACGCATCACAAATTCCTCACATGTGTAGGGTGTGTGTGGCCCCAAAATCTCATTTTGGGGTGGGCAAGTGGGAGCTAATTGAATTAGGGAACCGGTATTGTCATACAAATTAAATAGGATGATAAATTCCACTATCTCCATTTTCAGGCAGGTAGTAGAGTGAACCATTCTGATGAAGCCATTGGCTCAATAGACTGCTGTGACCAAAAGCCCATAAAATACACCAAGAAGGGTTTTGGAGGCAAAGCTAAAACTATACCCCACTTTTGTATACAACGTAGGATACCATATGCTTTTTCAAATTATTGTATATCAAGAAAATATCTTAGGCTGGGCACGGTGGCTCACGCCTGTAATCCTAGCACTCTGGGAGGACGAGGCAGGTGGGTTGCTTCAAGGTCAGGAGTTCAAAACCAGCTGAGCGAGACCCCATCTCTACCAAAAATAGAAAGAAATTAATTGACCAACTAAAAATATATATACAAAAAATTAGCCGGGCATGGTGGTGCATGCCTGTAGTCCCAGCTACTCGGGAGGCTGAGGCAGGAGGATTGCTTGAGCCCAGCAGTTTGAGGTTGCTGTGAGCTAGGCTGACGCCACGGCACTCACTCTAGCCTGGGCAACAAAGTGAGACTCTGTCTCAAAAATATCTTAAAGAAGAACTGTTAAAATATTCATAGGAATGGAAGGCTGATGGGACAGGACTGAAGGTTAGAATTTTCTTTTTTTAGCTTAGAAAGAGGATGGCCAGGGGAAAAAAGAGAGAAAAATGTCTATAACATATGGACTCGTCAGTTCATTCATCAAATGCCTACTTTGTCCAGGTACATCTAGGTGCTGGAATCTGGCCATGGACAAGACAGGCCAAACCTTGCCCACGTGGGAGTCACTGGATATTAATGTGAATTTGTCTCCCAAATTTCGAGAAGTTAGTTGGAAGAATTATCTTACGAAGCTTGGAAGGGGCAGATTTAAGACTAATAAGAGGACCCATGCTCAGTGCTGGGGACTAGAAGGGTGCCCGGTGGATATTTGGTGATTTTATATAACAAAAGAAGTGTTGATATTCTTAACATCCTTCATAGATAGGATATTGAAACTCCAACAGAAAAACGTGGACAAAGAACAGCAGGCCATTCAGAAAGGAGAGATACAAATGACCAACCAAATTAAACTGCAAGAAAGAAATGCAAGTTAAATATATGCAAAATTCAATGCAAATTAAAATATAACAGTGTAGAGCTGCTAGTAAACTTTTAGAATTAGTAGCTCTGCAAGAAGAGACTAAAAAAGGAGATTTAAACAGAGCCTGGTAACCCCACGCAGGGTATGCAATGATTTATTAGCGAGAACAGGGATGTCAGGGCATAGGAAAGGCAAACTTGCACGCCAGGTTGTTGACAGTCTCTCCTGCAATCAGCTGGTTTAATCCAACCTGAGATTTCTGTTCCAAAGGTTCAGGAATCCATTCCTGGGGACCCCTGTGTGCAGGCGGAAAGTGCTGAGCTGAATTTTTGGCGCGGCCCTGCGGGGCGTTCTTATGTAACAGTCGCCTCAGCTCGTTAGCATGAGACCTTGAGACATGGAAGCTCAGAGGGGCCAACATAAATACGCGGCCAGGTGAGAGCCAACCTGGCCAGCGTCTCTCTCACCCTCGCAATGCATAAACACAGAGAAGAGCAATAGAACAGAAGGCTGTGCTGGAGCCACGGATCACTGCGCCCTTGTATCTCTGTTGCTTTATTTTCACTGTCAAAAGCTTGACGAGAGGCTCCGTAAAACCCGGCCAGGGCGTTTGAAACACGAGCCCAACCAAACAGGCCAAAGTTGTAGAAGAAATGCATCCAGGTGTCCTCAAACTACGGCCCTCGGGCCACATGCGGGTGTTTTTGCCTGTTTTTTTTTTTTTTTTACTTCCAAATAAGATATGTGCAGTGTGCACAGGAATTTGTTCATAGTTTTTTTTTTTTTTCCAAACTACAGTCCAGCCCTCCAACGGTCTGAGGGACAGTGAACTGGCCCCCTGTTTAAAAAGTTTGAGGACCCCTGGTACACCTTGTTCTCTTGCAGATGCGGCAGCTGTTTTCTTTTTCCTGACTGCTGTTGGATCTTTCTAGCAAACACCTAGAGCTCTCCCCTCTCTGGAAATCAGGTATTTGTGGACCGGGTGATTTATTTGTTTAGCATCCTGCGCCTTTATTCTCAGAAGAAAGGGAATGGGACGGAACACTCTGTCACATAAACAATTGCCCAAGATGTTGGGCAAGAGAAATTGGGACAGGAAGCAGACGGTGGACTCTTTGCCCCAGGTAACTGCCTGATAAGGTAAACAAGCCGTGTACAATGAGTTCCTGTCCTCCGCGTGATAAATATTTATATGCTAAGCCCTGTGTTTGAAAGCACTAAACCATTTCTCAGTCTGAACATTGACCTTTGGATGCAAAACACAAGGCTAATTTCCTATGTGATGTAATTAATTTTTGCCGCTCAAAGCTGCACTGGGCACAAGAGAAATTGTTGTTTTCATGATTGTTTAAAAAGCGATTCAGCAGGCGTGTGCAGCTTCCCGGCCAAGGTGTCAATTACAATCTCAGACTTTTCTCACTCACCCCAGGAACCCAACTGTTCTAGGAAGATTCTGGTGGGCGGTTGTCGTTAGCAAACTCAGGTGCTCCTGATGTTAGAAGTGGTGACGAAGTGGCTTTGGGTTTGTGCATGGTTTTGAATTATTCCTGAGGATACCGAGGGCTTTATTTTTAAGATACTGGTTTAACACGGCCCCAAATGTCTGCGACCTCAATGTATTTCAGTTTAGCATTAATAAAATGTGCAGGGAAACTGTTGTCTTACAGTGAGCTAAATTAACCTCACCCAAAACAAAAGTAAAAGGCAAGTGACAAAAGAGGAAACATATTTGCCACAAAATAGCAGCACTTTCTTTCTCTCTCTCTCTCTCTCTCTCTCTCTCTTTCTTTCTTTCTGACAGAGTCTCGCTTTGTTGCCCAGGCTAGAGTGAGTGCCGTGGCGTCAGCCTAGCTCACAGCAACCTCAAACTCCTGGGCTCAAGCGATCCTCCTGCCTCAGCCTCCCAAGTAGCTGGGACTACAGGCAAGCGCCACCATGCCCGGCTGATTTTTTTTTTTTTTTTTTT